CGTATTTGGTTGAGAGCCTTCTCTACTTGTGCTCGTAAAATGATTGGTTCTGCCTCTCTGATTGCAAGTTTTTTGTGTTCTGATACTGATACGTCTTTTGAAGTGTCTTTGTATAATTCTGAGAAGTAATTTTTTCAGGCCTTTGAAATATTCTCTACGCCGGTTTTTAATTCACCATTATATATTTTAATGACTTGAAGTTGTGGCTTAAACAATTGGGCCTAATATTTAAATCTTTTAAATATTTTGTAACTTGGTTTATGGCGGTTTGAATGTTGCCTCAGTTCTTGACTTCTCTATCTCTATCTCTATCTCTAATAAAATCAATCATTCTCACATACATGTTATTCTCCTATTTGGTTTTGCTATTTTTTGAGTGTTGTATTCTGTTTTTGTGGTATTTTGTAGCGTAACTCTTCTTTTTCACTCATTTTAAGGTTTCCCCTAAAATAAAATGTTTGTTCTTTTCGATATTACGCGTTGTGCACCCTTTTTTCGCTTATATATAGCTTTCTATTCCATTCCACGTTTTATTTATGTCTCCTAATATGTGTGGTTTTTCTTTGTTTATCAGTTTCATCGGGAATTCTTTTGTATTATTTATCCTACGTTGTTTTATCCGATGTATTTTTCTAATTGTGTGTAGTTTAAGCCTGCAGTTTATTCTTAGCAATTTATTATCTGATCCCCAGTATGCTCCAGGCATAGCTTTTAAATTTGAAATGAAACACCTCCAAAATGACGTACAGTGGCCAGGTTCAGGCAAACAAATTACAAATAATGAAACCATGTATTATTCAGATAACAACGAGGTCAATCATCACTATGGTGTTGTTATCTTAGTTGCAAAAAGGTCAATTACTCTATGAGAAGTTTTACTCCTGATTCTGATAGGATCTTATCAATACAACTTCAATCTATAAAAAGTATAGTAAATTTTATTCAAATTTACGCTCCTACGGCAGATAAAGATGACGAGGATATCGAACTATTTTACCATTATTTGGGACAAGTCTTAAAATCAATGAAGAAACATCAGACTACAATAGTAATGGGAGACTTCAATGCTAAAGTTGGCCAGGGAAGAGTCGATGGATATGTGGGTGAATATGGTCTAGGCAATAGAAATGAACGTGAGAACCGCTTGATACAATTTTGCCAGACGGAAGAATTTGTAATAGCTAATACACTTTTCAAGCTACCAAAAAGAAGATTGTATACATGGAAATCTCTCGGTAATACAACGAATAGAATAATCCGAAATCAAATTGACTTTGTCCTCATTAGACAAAGATTTTGTAATTCTATACTGTCTACCAAAACACACCCTGGAGCAGACATCGGTTCAGACCATAACCCCATAGTAGCAACATTACAAACCAAATTAAAACTGGTTAAAAAACCCACACAAAGTAGAATTGATATTAACAGATTAAGAGAACCACAAACAAAGAAACAAACTGTAAAAACTCTTACTGAAAATCTACGTAATGCCCAAGAACTGAATAAAAGTAGCTATAATATTGACCAGAAATGGAAATATATAAAAATAGCAATAATTAAAACAGCAAATAAAAACTTAAAGCTAAAGAAAAGAAAAGAAAACATAAAGACTGGATGACTGAAGTAATACTACTATTAATGAATGAAAGAAAATCATTCAAAGCAAAAAATCCAATCAAATATAATGAAACTAATCGACTTATTAAAAAGAGAATAAAAAAAAGCTTAGGAGAGAATGTTACATGGGCAGTGCCAAGAACTAAAAGAAATTCAGAAAAAATATAACTTTTTAACATGCAAATTCCTCGGCAGAATGTAGTAGGATCTGGTTACCAATATTAAAAGAGGAAGTTATTAATAAGGAAATACCAGTATTAGTAAGTCAGTAACATATAGATGATACATCATTTATGTTTTTTAAATAACGTAACATATAAAATCAGAATTTTGATGTTTGTTGAAGGTAAACTAAATTCACGAACAAATACTTACAATGTCGGGATAGTATTATGAGGTTTTTTTCCTGGTTTTTCCCTCATAATTTACTATGGAATCACTAACAGGAGAATTTTACTGTCATCATGTCATGTGTTTGTCTTTTTAAAGACGAATTACATGATATGATTTTTTTCTGACGGATATTCTCAAGTTAAAGTTGATTTCATGTAATCGAATGAACTATCTTATAAGTAAAGTCGTCCCAGGAGCGCAACTCAACAATATTGGCAATATCATTTTAAAGTCGTCTACTTTAAAATGCATAATGTATGTCAGAATTGTCAATATAAATGAGTCAGATAAAATTAAATTATTAGAAGAATTTTTCACTATGTAACAAAAAACAAAATTTGTTTAATTTACTGTTTGTATTTTGAGAACGATTTCCGAAGTGGAAATTGAAACGTCAATAAACGTATTTTTATCGTTAATTGTGGCTTATTCCCAGTTTAATAGTAATTAATTTATAATGCCACAAGAAAATAGCTTCAGAACAATATGCATAAAAGAATTAGAGAATTAACAGGAATGAGAAAACACTTCAAACTAGGCAACTAAGAGATGAAAGATATAAACACTTATAACGGATATAAACCAAAAAATGCAGAGATGGACACAATATATAGCACAACTTTTTGAAGACAAAGAGAGAACAGAAGCACCAAAAGAATTTAATAATACTGGGCCTGAAATTATAGGAGAAGAAATTAAATATGCAATGAAACAAGCTAAAGGTGGTAAATCTTCCGGGCCTGACAAAGTTTTTATCAAATTACTCAAAATTGTGAATACTGAATCTATTGATCTTCTTTTGGATCTATTCAATATTATATATAGAACAGGTATAATACCTAAAGAATGGCTTCAATCAACACTCATACTGCTTCCCAAAAAAGCCAATGCAAAGGAGTGCAATAAATATTGCACTATAGTCTTAATGAGTCATGTCTTGAAATTGTTTTTAAAAGTAATTCACAATAGAATACATAAGAAATTAGATAAAGGCATAAGTAATAAACAAATGGGATTTAGGAAAGTACTGAGAACACGAGATGCACTATTTGCAGTAAGTGTTCTTTCGCAGAGATGCTTAGATATAAATCAGGAAGTATATGCCTGTTTCATTGATTTTGAGAAGGCATTTGACAGAGTTCAGCAAAATCGGCTTAAAGAAATTTTATTAAATAAAAACATAGACAGTAGAGACATTAGAATCATATATAACCTCTATTAAAACCAAACAGCAAAAGTAAAAAATAAAAATGCACTGACAGAGGATATCCAGATTCACCGCCGTGGGGTCCGCCAACAGTGTATTTTATCACCCTTGTTATTGAATTTATACAATGAAGCCATCTCAGAATTAGCGCTTGCCGAGGTCAGTGAGGGCCTTATAATAAACGGTGAGCCACTTAATAACATAAGATATGCATCGTCCTTCTGGCAGGAACACTAGAAGAACTGCAAGTTCATGGTTTTAAAAAAAGCACAAAACATCAAAGTTAAGCTAGTACTAGATAATACAGAAATTGAACAAATATCTTCGTACAAATACCTTGAAGCATGGATCACAAAAGATACTAATCAGACAAAAGAAATAAGACGCCGCATTGAAATTGCGCGGTCAACTTTTAATAAAATGAGAAAACTTTTTTGTAATCGCGATATCAATATATCGCTCAGGATAAGAATGCTTCGATGTTATATTTTCTCTACCCTTTTGTATGGGGTTGAAGCTTGGACACTTCAAAAATCCAACATTAAAAACCTAGAAGCATTCGAAATGTGGTGTTACCGACGTATTTTTAAAATATCGTGGGTGGATCGCAAAACAAACGAACAACTAGGAAAACAATGCGAAGTTTTAAATTTCATAAAAATCAGGAAATTTAAATACTTAAATTGGAGCACATCTTGTGAGGTGAAAAATATGAACTATTAAGGAATATAATGCAGGGTAAAATCAAAAGCAGAAGAAGCGTAGGAAGACGTAAAATCTCGTGGCTACGCAATCTACGTGAATGGTTTGGATGCAGTTCAATTGAACTATTTAGGCACGTAACCAACGAAATTATAATTGCCAGAATGATTTCCAATTTTGCGATAGGAGCGGAACTTGAAGAAGAATATATCCTTAAACAAAAGGAAATGTGTACTGATCCCCATATTTTTAATATCTACTCTAAGATAGAATTGCACAATTGAAAAATTGAAAAGAATGTAGATAAATAATTTAGGAATAACGACGAGACTGTATATATACTCTATACTTGCAGATAGTTCGAAGGGCTTTCATTATTTACTTAACAAATATCATCTGAACAGATCTACTGGGCTTAAAAATTAACAACGAAAAACCAAGATATTGGTTTTTAATCGGAATCCAAATTAACCAGTAGACGTAAATTTATGTGGAATAAAAATGACTATAATTTCTAAGTTCAAGTACCTGGATAGCTGGCTAAGTAATAAATCGCTCAATATGCAAGTAAACTATAATTTTCCAAAGTATTAGATATTTTTTGTATTAGTCTGAAGTGTGGATGCCAAATATAGCAGCCTAAACAGACTCCAGGTATTTGAAATGTTGGTAGATCGACTAATGTTGCTGATACCTTGGATCGTCTATGCACCAATTTGGAAGTTTTGCGTGGAGTGGAGTAGAGAACGGAGAGCTCCAGATCGACAGAGTCTGAATAAAATAAGTACCTTAGATAAAACCAGGAGTAGTACTAGGCAGACTCCTAGAAGTTAACAAGTATAAACTATAAATTATGTCTTATCGGATTTAACGAAACAAATAACAAAGGAAACTTGTTGCTTAGAAATCTTAAAATATAGTTATTTTAAATCTCAATCTCAATTATGTCACAAATTATATTTAATATGAAAAAAGGGTTTTTACGTTTTTTTTATTTTATTTGTCTAATAATATTTCATAAAAATTACACAAATTTAAAACCATATTCAAAGAAAAATAAAAAAATATTCTACGATACCTTTATCCCTATTCTTCTGTTTGCTCAAAACTTCACCTACCACCACAAATAGTACAACAACCGATAACTTGTGCACTTGCATCTTTACCTACAGCTTTTTAACCGGTTCTTAAAATAAGTAAATCAGAGGTGATATGTAAATTATAATCAGAGTTGTAGATATATAGAGGTATCTGTATAATTTTACCGACACTCTCCCTCCCACCCATTTCGTAGAAATCAATTAAGTTTTTTCATCAAATTGTGTATTAACCGCGTTAAATTTCTTAAATTATGATTCGTGTGAAATTCATTAAATTCATTATACTTAAACATTAAAACACGAATACTTGCATATTTGTTTATAGCTAATTATATTTAAACTAGGCTTTTAAATTAATATGAAATAATTCGACTCGTATCTAAAGTAATATAAAAGAAGTTGCTTAACCCTTTAAGTGAATTTATTCTTCCAGAGGGATGTGTGTGTGTGTGTGTGGAGAGATTGAGATAGCATTAGACAATGAATCTTTTTGCCACAGAAAATTGTAATAAGGATGTTTAAATCTTTAACACACTCTTCAAATTTTCCTCAGAATACTTCACAACAGAATTAGACGCGAATGCGAAGAAGATCTTGAAGATACCCAATTTGGTTTTAGAAATGCTATGAGAACCAGGGAGGCACTTTTTGCGGTTAACATCCTATTACAAAAATGCCGTGACCAAAGAAAAGATGTATTTGCATGTTTCGTGGACTTCGAAAAGGCACTCAATACACTACAGCAGGGTTCACCAAATATATTCCCTGTGGGTCCGTTTTAAAAATCAACTACACTTCCTCGGTCCAGACACTCAGCACTAAACCAGGCAGTGACATAACCGGAAGGATGGGGTTACCCAGAAACCCTCCAGTAGTTGTAAACCCTCCTCAGGAAATCATTCTCGTTATGTGGTTGAAACCAAAAAACTAGGTCACCTCTTTTAGGGAGCAGTACGGAATAAACTCAATCTTTGTTTAACAAATTTTTGCAGCATAATTTGAAATATTTGTATCTTAGAACTTAATTTAATCATTTAATGCTTCTGTTTGTGGTTGATTTCTTACTGGTACTATAGTGTTCAACAATTTTATGGAACATATCTAAATATATTTAAACATTTAAATGATACAGCATAAGTAACAGTATTTGTTAATCACTACAGTTCTGTACATTTTAACAAAATCTTCCTGATACTCGATCATTTCCGTCTGAAGGGCAGCTTTGTTACTCTTAAAAACGTCTGCTGCTTCGCTGGCCCATTTACCATTAGGCTTGAGTGAAAAACTGTTGCTTAACAGTTGCACATTTTCAATTTTGTGGAAATCAGAAAATCGTTTTTTATTTGAAATCAAGTTCATTAATAAAACGTGAGAACTGGGTAACATCAATATCTTTATTACTATCACAAAAGGATTTAAGAAAATGGAAATGCAAAAGTTTTGCCTTAATATCCTCAGAAAAAAGTTCAATATTTTTAAAAAATCTTCTAATATCCGACAGAAGTGCACAAACAAGTTTTCCCTTGCATTGTAGTTTTAAATTCAAGAAGTTCAGATGTCTGATGATATTCACCAAAAATACGATAGTTACAACGTTTTCTGTATCCAAGAGCAAGCCCAAATGGTCATTTGCAGTTTCATTATTAATAGTGGACAGGAATTCTTTTATGTTTTCAAGTATTGCAAACAATGTTTCAAGCACTAAACGTTTGCTCAGCCCTCTTACGTTGTTATGAAGAAGCAAATCGTCAAACTGAGCATTAGTGTATTCTAGTAATGATTTGAATTGACCATGCCTCAAAGATGCTTTTTCACGTATAAAGTTTACTATCTTTATGACGGTTTGCATTTTACTGTGAAGTTTTTGAATTTAACGGCGGTCCGCAAAAAAAACTCACGGTCCGAATTCGGACCGCGGTCCGCTATTTGGTGACAACTGCACTACAGCATGTAAAATTAATGCAAAAAATACTGAAAAATATCGGAATAGATGAGAAGAATATTCGTGTCATTAAAAATTTGAACTGGAATCAAACTGCTATCGTAAAAATTAGAGATAACTACACCGATGAAATTTCGATACAACGAGGAGTCAGACAAGGTTTCATTTTGTCGCCAACATTGTTCAATGTTTACTCGGACCAATTATTTAAAAAGACACGTGAGAGACATCCTTATAGAATAAAAATCAACGGGGAACTACTTAATGTGATTAAATATGCAGAAGATACAGTAATTCTATCAGATAATATTGAAGGTCTTCAAATTCTGCTTGATCGTATTCACGAGGTAGGAGAGGAAATGGGCATTAAAATAAACTCAAACAAAACCAAATTTTTAGTTTTTAGTCGTGACCCACATCCCGATGCACAGCTTCAATTAAACGGAGTCCAAGTTGAGAAAGTTCACAAGATGACATATTTGGGAACTGTGATAACGCACCAACTAGATCCAGACATAGCAATAAAACGTAATAGCAATTACGCAATTACGTAAAAAGTAATAGCAATTACTTAAACTACTTTTATAAAAATGATCATGAACAAAATTGAAGCATTGGAGATGTGGCTTCATAGACGAATGCTGAAGATACCTTGGACAGCAAGGAAAACTAATGAGGAAGTACTAAGGAGCGTCAACAAAGAAACTGTTAAAGACTAATAAACATCGAAAAATGTCTTATCTGATACATACAGTAAAGAGAAGTCGATATAAAATATTACAACTGATCCTTAAAGGCAAAATAGAGTGCCGTAGATGTTTAGTCGAAGGTTACAGCCTCGGAGCCATTCTCTTGCCTTGGGATTGAGTTGGTGGATTTCATGAAGGCTGCCAACGAACTTGGGGCTTAACACTCGAAGACGATGTGGTTACTTGTTTGTTTAACAGCGCTGCATTTGTCACATCCCGGACTGGCATTTATACCCCACTGATTCAGAGCCTTGTTACAAACTCCTTGACCAACTCGTATTCTATTAAGGTTGCACCATTCACGACGAGGAAGAGAAAAGCCGTCTGGTTTAATTGTAGGGTTTTCTGTGATATTAGTATTTCTGATATCTGGATTCCATTCGCCCATCCAGTGTTCCTTAGTAGTAAAATCAGAAAATCTTGTAGCAGTTCTAGTATGTGAATGTCGGGATTTCAGTCTAATCTCTCTTTGGTCTAGCTCAGCGATTTCTGTATTTATCGGTAGTGCTGGATTTTGTTAACATTTTAGAACTAGTGTGTTCCGTTGAGTGTGGCTAGTCGTCTTGTTACTGGTGGAATTATATTGCTTAAAACTGGAAGTCGTTGGGTTGGGTGTGGGCTTTATAGTACCCGTTATGTGCCTCATTGTTTGGTTTAACTGGATATCTATGACGTTTGCGTAATAACTGGTTAGCCAAACAGCGTGCTCGTTCTCCCCCATGATGTATTTGCTAATTTCTGAATAATGTTATTGCGGAACTTTATTTTTGCTGAAGTGTTTTCCAAATGCTGTTTAAATGTTAGGGTACGATCTAGAATTATGCTGAGGTATTTTGGGTTCGAACTGTGCTTTAGAATGGTTACATCGCATTTTATGTTTATTAATTAATTTTTGCCGATTTAACACTGTTTTTGATAAACTTTCATGGGTATGATTATGACTACATTTGCCTACACTGTTACAAATATTTAAAGTTTTAACAAATGCTTTGCAACTTCTTTCTACAGACTGCCAACGTTTGATATTATTAGCAAACATTTTATGGAAGTTATACTTGTAATTGTCAATAACTAACAATGACTTGCCCTTTTCACTTAACATTTCACTTACTTTAGATTTCTCCATCATGAACTAGGTATAACGACATTTAAACTGGAACTAAAGTAATAATAGTCTCAAACAGCCTCTCCTACTCAAATATCAACCTCACTTTCACGTTGGTGAACCCTGTTATCACAAACGAGGCTCTGACGACCGACTATCGGCGGTACAACTGTAACATCTGGAATTAAGGAACTGTAATTCCATTATATGGGTAGTGAGTAGGAATTCCTCAGACAGTCCTATCAGGGAGAATGAATCATTCCTTGCCCTCCATAGATTCCAGGTGTTTCTTGACCCGGGAAACTAGTACCTGCTCAGGGTCCCTTGTCCAGGGTCACGGATGAAGGCCACAACGGCATTCAAGGCGGAGAAGGATACTTGCGGTACGGAGAGGATATCGGAAGCGGCCCATCTGATTTTAGGGTTAATATAAAATCAGTAAGTCTGACCCAGAGTGGGCAGTTGAATATACACTCACCAACCCATCTGACCAGCGTGGTGTTTTATGATCAACACCTCCCTTCGCAAATGGCGAATACAAACCCGAACGGAACTGGTCCCCAGGTAGGTGGTTCACCACCTTGTGGCAAATCCTACACTTTATCTAATAAGGTCAGTTTCGTCGGATCTAGGGGAGACAATAGTTAGTCAATACACAACAAAAATGTATATTTCAATTTTCAATGTAAGATCTTTATCTAAAGACGAGAAACTCTATGAATTACTGGAAGAAGTTACACACCTGCAATAGGACATAATCGGACTATCGGAGGTAAAAACAAAAGGTGAAAACTGCATCTCGCTAGAGTCGGGAAACATATTGTATTTTAAAGGTAGAGAAAAAAAAAGTTTATATGGAGTTGGTTTTCTGATTTCGAAAAAATATGCTCATAAAATTGAGGAATACGTAGGAATAACAGAAAGAATCGCTTTATTAATCATAAATATCAGCGAAAAGGTCAGTTTAAAAATAATTTAGATTTATGCGCCAACATCTACACACACAGACGAAGAAATGGAAGAATTCTATGAACACCTGACAGAGTCCATGACGTATTGAAACACTACCTATACGATTATAATGGGCGATTTTAATGCGAAAATGGGCAAAAAACTAGAAGAAAACGAAAACTGTATTGGAGAATTTGGGCATGGAGTAAGAAATGAAAGAGGAGATCTATTGGTTAACTATCTAGAAAACAACATGTTCATTTGCCATGAACTCTTTCTTCAACAAAAAGCCACATAGAAAATGGACGTGGATGTCGCCAGATGGAAACACTAAAAATGAAATTGACTACATACTAACA